GCTTAAAACAGAATAAGCAACATTGTGAACATTGATTTATTGAGCCAAATCATTCTCTAGGAGAGATATTTTTTTCATTGTTTTTATGTAAGATTCATTATTTCACTAAGAATTTTGCTTCTTTATGGCATGGTCTCTCAAGACCTACTAGTTCCAAAGATCTATAGGCAGTGCTTTTTTTGTAAAAAAAAAAAAAAAAAAAAAAAAAGGTGCCAGAACTCACACACGTCATACAACCCGCCTTGCCTACCCTACAAGGTTCCATCCAAAAAAGGTGCCGGAACTCCGTTCTGGGTGTTCTATGACAAAAAAAGCCTTGTCTATAGGTATATAGAAGGATGCCTGGTAGGTGGGGGCAAAGCATTATTGTCATTGGAATCATTGATCCCAGCCACGGGGAGATCAAATGCTGCTAGTAAGAGCTACAGAACCAAGATACGACATCAGTGTTTAATATAAGTATAAACAGTGAGAGACAGTCTCATGCTATATGGGTGGGAAGCAGTCTGTATTACATACAGTAGTTATACTGCCCCATCTCATATTCAGTTGTATATATGGTCCTGGGAATGAGCAGCAAAGACAATTTCCAATTCTTTCTTGAACAGAGAAATTTGCTCCACCAACCTGAAGAAAAGCAACATAACAATGCAGCAATCCAAATATCTTTCCGCAAGTTTTCATTAAAAGAAATGCTAGAGAAATACCAAACACATCACACTAGTTCTGATTTCATAGTATATCAGCAGTCACGAGTACTAAAACACTAAATGGTGCTACCTGAATTAATGTTGCTGGATTTATAAATGGGCTCCACTTTGTAAGATTCTCAGCAGAGCCTTTTAAAGGGTTTTATTGGATAATTGATCTCCAGCTATATGAAGTATGGAAGCCATATGCAGCTTTGAACTTTCTTTCTCAGAATTGAATGCTCAGTAGATAGGGAGAATGGTTCAATACCTCCATTTTAAAGAGGACAATCTAAATTGCATCAAGAGCAAGAATGATCTTACTTTATCCCTAATCACATATCTCCCTTTTCTCACTTTGTGAGTCACTGTAACACTACGACTATAGAGAGAGACTACAACTGATGAGATTCAGGTTGACATATTCACTTATCCAGGGGAGGAGTATCTTTAGGTCAGTATCGAGTTTTAGAGGAGAAATTATTGCACATTACCTTATGCCTTTGGGATTAAACATGGGGCTAAATGAATGAAGGCTCAGTTCTCAAAGCCAGAAGTCAGCCTCTGATGGTTTGTTGAACATAATTTCCCCCACCAGGTTCTATGGGAGTGTAATCTGGGTTCTGCTCTTCCAGTGTAGGCTGAAGCCACATCCAGATGCTTCCCTATTACCACTCTGGCTGCTGTTCTAGCCATATGCTCTAACATCACCTCACCTGTGCTTTGCGACCCCGGTTGACAAAGGTGCAGACAGGATTATATGCGCCAGTGCCACAGACATACAAGTGTGTTCGATTCCAGGGCTGGATAAGTCGGATGAAGTTCCCACACTCACCCTAGAAGACAAATGGAACATTAACTTAAGCTCCTACAAAATTGTGTCCACTTCAAGAAGGGGAAGTGAGTAATTGCATCCTCTCCTCGTCAGGACCCAATGAAAGATTCAAATGTACAAGGTCTTCTGCAGCAAATGGTTTTACTATTAAAGAGAGTTCTTTGTGCAACAAGAAAGTCCTATGGGCAGGTACTTATGTGCAGTGAAGTGACACTTAAGACTGAGCAAATAAGGCCTGGTGCCCCTTTAGAATCAGCAAATGTACATTTTGAAGCATTTCTTCCAATGAGATTTTGGATATCTCTGCAAAACAAATTTTCTGCATGCCCTATTTATGGTGCTCTCTCTCCCTCTGTTTTTTCTTTTAAGAAGTTTGAATTATTTTCCATTTCAGAGCCAACATTCCTTTTTTCATGTCTTATGTTACAGCACATTTGTAGCTGAAACAGACTATAAATGGTGCAGGTCAAAGCTTTCCTTCTTGTCCTTGGCAATTTTTCTTCAGTCTGAGAAAATAATAGTTGTACAATTCCAGAGAACTATCTTGGTGTCAAGATGGCAGATGCCAGACTCCTGGGTCCTGTTTATTTTCAAACACAAGGAAAATGATCTGAATACAAATGCCTGGAAAGGAAAATCCTTCTAATGGACCCAAAAGAGCACTTTCTGATTTTATTGGTTCTGGAAAAAAGGGAAAAGTATTCCAGTAAAGCTGATCCTGTTAAACCAGTGATTTTCAACCTTGGTAACTTTGTGATATGTGAACTTCAAGGAGAGAAGCAACCTAGAACTAAGGAGAAACTTCCTGACAGTTAGAACAATTAACCAGTGGAACAACCTGCCTCCAGAAGCGGTGAATGCTCCAACACTGGAGGTTTTTAAGAAGAGACTGGACAGCCATTTGTCCGAAATGGTATAGGGTTTCCTGCCTGAGCAGGGGGTTGGACTAGACGACCTCCAAGGTCCCTTCCAACTTTATTATTATTATTATTATTATTATTATTATTATTATTATTATTATTATTAATCAACTCCCAGAAATCCCTAGTCAGCACAAATCATAGCTATACTGTATATTAGAAATGACTATATTTACATTACATAATTATAATTACACTCATTTTAAACACTTGATATGTCTTTTTTATTATGTACAATTGTGCGTCTTCTTTTTTCTTCTCTTTTCTGTCGCTATTTGAAATGCAACAAAACATTATTTTAAAAACTCCCAGAAATCCCCAGCCAGCACACAATAATAAAGTTATATAAATAATTAGATATAAATAATGTGTTAATGTATTAAACAAATAAATGAATTTTTGGCAAGAGACAGTGAGAGCCCTTGCCTCATTCCCTCTTATTTGATCCTTACCATCGTTTGTCAGTTTAATTGTAGTTTTATTTTATTGTGAGCTACCCCAAATCATTGGAAGACATTATTATTATTATTATTATTGTTGTTGTTGTTGTTGTTGTTGTTGTTATGCAGTGAAGTCTAAGCAGCGAAAATAATGCCGTGTTAGTAATTTTTCATCTTATTTAATTTTCCTTTTTTAGCAATTGCACAAAGATAAATGTGATGCTTGTTGATAGCTTAATGGCACTGTATTTCAAAATAGCAAGGACCATTCAAAAACCTTCTGAAGTTCTCCT